CAGAATTAAAATTTTATTTTGAAAAAATAATTTATTAATATTTATCTGAGGTACAAATCTTTTTGCACCAACCCATAATTGGAATTAATTTGTGGATCTTTACTAATAGAATTTTTTTTTGATAACTGATAAAGTGTACAAACATTCTCAAAGTTAACAAATTGGTCTTTAAAAGTGGATTTTCTCCAGTTAATATCGTTAAAACCTTAAAATCATCCTCCAACTATAGTTTACAAATATAAAAAATCACAGTTTCTACTAAATTTCGTAGGCCAAAGAAAATTAAACGCCCATGCAGTTCGTCGTATAGTTCAATTTGTTAGAAATAATCATTGAAAAGCAGCTGAAACAAATTACAAAAGATATGTTGGACAAGATAATTAGTACAAAGACTGTTCGTGATCCTCTTTATGAGGAAGGTTATTATAATCAAACAGGAGTTAGAAAATCCTTAGTTTCGGAAAAAATCGAAAAGACCGGTTGCTATGGTGTAGAATTGGACTGTTGAGTGAGAATTGGCGATTTGAAGTGATAAGTCACGGTATTTAATCTTTGAAAATGAATCACGCAGATAGGCTAGACGCAAACCACATGAAAGATATTTATGTAAATTGCAATTATGAAGCCAAAAAATGGCGTAATGATATGGCGGCGTTTATATGAAATGCAATTGGACCTTTAATTGAAGTTTCTTAATAATATGCGTTCCCATAGAATAAAAGAAAATAATATTGAATCATTTTTTGTGGCTTATACAAAGGCACGATCTTATGCACCTTTGGAGAGATTGCTTCGTGCACAGCCCACACATCCCTGAATTAGAAGAATCGAACCTGAAACATTAGATAAACTAGTTGATAGCATGCTTGTATAGTTAAAGTTATTAAAATGGAAAAAGGCTACCGACTAACTATTAAATTATATACAGTATTAATGACTTTTCTTTTACTGGATTCAATAAACTTTATTGATTTGCTTTGAAATCAGTTAACTTTCTGAAAAAGTGACATACTAATCATCTCGGACGTAAATTTTTGTACACACCCACTGTACATTGTCTCTTCTCCGGTTTATTATGACAAGGATAAATGATATCACTTGCCGGATGAATAAAACGCCGGGGTACAATCGAACTTTGTGCAAGTTATCCAAATGTCAGACAAATGTAGGAACACTAGATAAACAAAAAGCAAGACGTATATTATGTACATGCAAAAGCGATACGGTAAACCTTTTTGGAAAATTCGAATTAATGCATCTGAACGCCATGTATGTATGTGCGAACATTACATAACTCGTGTCAAATGTTGCACAATATAGACGCATTCTCGAAGTAACTTAGCAAGATAACCGTCTTCCCATGCATTGTCCAATGACATCATTTGAATGTACATACTAGTGACGGAAATTTTTTTATCGCGAAATTCGTTCGTTATAACAAGATTTTGTATAACAAGATTTTATATAACAAGATTTTATATAACAAGATTTTATATAACGAATTTATTGAAAGTGCATTCATTACATTGAGAGTTACCATGTGTATAACGGATATTCAAAGCTCGATATAACGAATTTTTTTCTAATTGTTTCGAATCATTCGTTATAACGTATCAAGTTCACTGTCACTGTGTACATAAATTTTTTTGATTAGGTTATCGTATTAGTATACAATACATGTTACTCAACTAGATTACCAAAAACCAATACAGTGCAAAATGAATAATCCATAGTCAGTCAAGAGAAAATTCCCGAAGGAAAAAGGTAACATAGATATTTATAAACTTTGTAATTAATAAAAACATTAATAGATTCAAAGTTACATTTCATTAAAAATAACACTCAAGAATCTCTTTAAATTCAGTCTGTTTCATACTCTGAAGCTTCATCTTTTTTCTTTTTCTATAATCTTAATTGTAATTCAAATTAAAAAATACATAGACTACCTTTTGACTTTGATAGAATCACCATTCTTTTTTAACTGGCAAATCCAAGAAAGACATGTCTCAATATAAGAGATTTTCTCTTTTGCAAATTGCAATAGTTGCATTGTTTTTTTTATTTGCGAATGCTGAAGATTGCGGTACTCAAAACCCAAACGGCAGTATGTATTTAGATGTCAACCTGTATCTGTGTACTTGCTAGCTATGCATGCTAAATAATTTATTTTACCTTAGAGTGTAATGCTTCCGCGGGTGAATGCTGCTCGAAATGGGGGTAAACATGCTTTATTCTATAATGCGCAAATGGGTATAATTGAATGAAACTAACGTCGAACTACTTTCCTTTTGCATTTTAAGTTATTGTGGAGTAGGTGACGCGTGGTGTGGTGCAGGGTAAGTTTAATCCCACTAATGGAATACTAAAAAAAATTTACATATTCTAAAGACTTTTCACAATTTTTTAGATGTCAGCCTAATTACGGTCTATGTAGTTCGACCACATCATCGACTACGTCGACTAGTAGCAGGACTAGTAGTACTTCATCCTCAACTTCAACTTCAACTTCAACTTCAACTTCAACTTCAACTTCAACTTCAACTCCAATTTCAACCGACGGTAGATGTGGAAGCGGATATGGAACGAAATGTCCTTCAAATCAATGTTGCTCACAATGGAGTTGGTGTGGAACAACATCAGGTGAATATGATGATACATGTCATGTATGCACTAATGTACTACATATATCGATATTTAATCGTTGTACGTAATTTAGATTATTGTGCCGCTGGATGTCAATCTGGATTTGGTAATTGCAACAGCGCTTCGACAACAACCACTTCGACAACCACCACATCTACCACAACCTCTTCATCATCTACTACTTCAAAATCCACCACAACTTCTTCAACTACCACTACAAGTAGCAGTTATCCAACATCGACAAATGACCAATGCGGAAAAGATCACAATACACAATGTCCATCGGGAAATTGTTGCTCTCAATGGGGCTGGTGTGGCACCACTTCTGGTAGGACATTTATCGAGCTATTAAAAATATATTTAAACATTGCATGCATATCGATATTAATATTTAATACATGTGCATGTATAGATTATTGTGGATCTGGTTGTCAATCTGGATTCGGTAAATGCAATAACGATCCATCAACAACTTCAACCACAACCTCTGCTTCACCAACCCAGACTGGTACCGGTGGTGGTCCAGTAACTGCCAAAGTTTACAGCTCATGCGCAATCTCAAACACGTTCGCAATAACTTTTGACGATGGTCCTTATTCCGTAAGTATCTCGAGATTTATCTATTAATCATTATTAAACAAATGATGACGACGACGTTATCTCATTCTTTATAATAGTTCACGAATGAGCTCCTTGATACGCTCGCTAATAAAGGAATAAAGGCAACATTCTTTGTGAATGGCAATAACTGGGGTTGTATCTATGATTATGCAGACGTAGTTAAACGTGCGTATGACGAAGGTCATCAAATTGCCGCGCATACCTGGTCACATCCGTCACTCCCCTCTCTATCAGATGATGACATAAGATATCAAATAACTGCACTTGAAACTGCTCTTCGTAAAATTATTGGCGCTGTACCAAGATTCTTTAGACTTCCCTACGGTGACGGTTCATCAGATTCCCGGGTTCTTGGTATTCTTGGCGACGAAGGATATTCGCATATTATTCAGTGGGATATCGATTCTGGTGATTCCACAGGAAATACTCCTGACCAATCGAAGCAAGTTTATCTGAATAATGTTAATCCTCCAAATCCACATGTCGCACTTAATCATGACGTGAAACAAACAACGGTGGAAGATGTTGCACCATATGCAATCGATCTCATTAAGGGTGATGGATATAATATGATGACCGTAGGTGATTGCTTAGGCACTAGCAGCTGGTATAAGGAAGTAACATCCCCTTCTTCAAGAGATAGTTCCTGGACTTGTTAATCATCTTAAGATTTTAATTAATAATACTCGCACGTAAACTTTTTTATACAGTAATGTAATACATTTTATACAGTAATGTAATACATTAATCAGTTAATAGAAATAATAAATTTCACATTCAAGTACTTTTGCTCGTAACGATTGGAAACTCGCTATATTCAATAAATTAAGGCCCAAATGAAGAAATTGTCCACCGGATTCATTGCACAAAATCTTAAAGTCAACCAATTTTTTACCAAATGATTAGACGCCGGAAGTATTTGCATACTCTGCATTTCATAAAAACGAATACTATACGGTAACGGCAGTATCGGTTCCGGAAACGAAGCTGCTAATGGCAATTTTGTTGATGACATTCTAGTAGAAACATCCAAAGTCCGGTGAATTGAGTCAATAAACCTCTAACCGAAATTGAAATTAAAAATGCAGCCACAATGTGCTAAACAAACTGTATAGATAAATAAATTCGCGCTTTTATTAACTTATTCTTCTAATATTAAACTAGACAATCTTTTTAATTGGCTTTTTTTTATTTTAATTAATATTTGCATTAAGATTTGTATTATTTCGATTTATTTGTCTTTGAATCGGAAACAAAAACAAGTTATAGTAATAAAACGAAAATATTACTATGTTTTCCTTGCTATATTTTACAGATTTTCACATAAAGAATATGAAGACCGCTTCTGATGAAAAAATAAACATTTTGCATCACTATTACTATATTTGAAATATATTAAAAATATAATTAATTAACTAGTCATACAACAAAAAAGTTATCATGGGCGGTACCTCTAGGGCGGTACCATACAAAGACAGGTGAGGATATTAATTAAAAAAATATTACGTAATAAATAGCACGCCCTACCACGTGAATTCAATAGTTAATATTAACTAATAAAGAATGAGATGCTTTCTAATAATTATGCTCATCACCATTAATTTTTCTCCTAAAAGAATTTGGATCACAAATGTATCCCGAGATTAGTTGATGGTGTTACCGAAATACATGTACATGCAGTTCGTAACTTGGTAAAAGCTTGTAATTGTTCATCGTTCATGTAACGGGTAATAACTTTCCTCTTCCTATCTTGATAATGATACATTTTATTAAAATTCTCGTTGCTCCATTTACTTTTTTTACAAATAAAAATCAACATAAAAATCTTCCACCACCTTTCAGGGTATTCACAATACCCGTGATATTATTAACCTTGTTTATATTGTATCGTTTTTTATACACATATCATCTTTATCAAATATCTGAACAAGAATTAATTCACAGTGACGAAACCAACACGTCAATACACGAGAATATTAATAACCCGGAATCAAATGACAAGATAAAATCTGCGAGTCAAATTGCTTCCAGTGATGTGGATGAAAAATATCTGACTTATCTACCACATGGCCATTTCCAGAGTCAACGTATCGCATTAGAGAATGCGCTAATTCTCGCATGGATGTTAAAACGAACTTTGATAATTCCTCCAATATTATTCGGTGTAGCGCCACAATATAGACCTGCCCCAATGCTAATGAATCAATTGAAGCAATATAATATCAAAAAAAATGTCGCTGATTGCGTGAAATTCAAAAACGAAAAGCAACGAGCAAAATGTCTCGATCGAGTCAACGCGTATACTTTATACCCATGGGATAAATTGATGGATATGAATTTCATCAAAGATCATGTGAGAATAATTAATCGTCCTGATTTTGTTTTAAAAAATCTTAAAAGACAATTGAATATCAAACATGAGAAGGACATTTACTTTCTTGAGGACACCTCGCAGTATGATTATCGAATCTACGATACACCCGAATCTGCAATCGGACTTGATGGATATGAAACACGACTCTTAACGTCGACCTTGGAAAAGAATAATGCGAAACTATTACATCTTAATAGTTTAAGTGGAAAGAAGCGTCTAGTTCTCGAAGAAGGAAAAAATCTTGAGTTTGCAAGACAATTTTATCGTGGATTTATAATCAATGCGCCTGAAATTGTGATGGCTTCTGATCGAATAGGGATGCAGTTGGGAGGTGTTGGGAGTTATATAGGATTACATGTGAAGGTCGGTGAGAAGGAATATTTCAAATCGTTATCGGGAAAAACGGGAAAAAATATAACTAAATTAGTAAATGAAGAAGCAAAACAATTCAAACCAAATTACAAATCTACATCAACGCGAAAGAAATGTAGGTCGACATTTTCTAAATCATCGAAGACCGTTGTGTACCTGGCCATGGATGGCGAAAAAACACGTGAACAATTGGCACCATTGTTTCTTAACTTTCCATGTACTTTTACTTTGTTAAACTTTGAGACCTACGTGACAGAATTGAAAAACCTGACAAATATGGTGGATGGGGTTAATTTATATAAATTTTTGAGGCCGATACTTGACTTGACCATCGCTGCAAAAGGCGGAAAATTCATTGGATCAGCCGATAGTTCCTTTTCTATGTATGCCAAACGGATACATGACCTTACCGTTGCAGTTTGATTATAATAATTACGGCCTTTGTTGTTATCAACCTCACGGAACTGGGCAATTTGTTGATACATACGATGGTGGATAAAAACGAGCATTTATATATATGCACAAATACAAACAGCTGATTGGCTATCGATGATATTATACATGTGTGTATACAGCAGATAAAAATATCTTGAAACAAGTTCATCAACCATGTCTCGTTTAATAAAGCTTTATTCTTTTACTTTGTATGGAGAGAGAGATAAAGGCCATGATAAATAAAAAATTAATCTTTAGCTTTGTATGTGTTATTTTTGTGTCTTGCAATGTTTTTGTGCGAGTGTCTGGACTGCAAGTATGTAATAATGATATTGTCGCCGTAAAACCCTCATTTAACCCGGAAACGTATCGTAAAGTTGAGGATTGCCTCTCTTCTACTGGTGCAAAAGTCATTTTTCCCTCAGACGCCAGCTATGAGGAAGTGAGACTTGGAGAAAGGATAAGGTAAAATTTGCGCTTTTTGGTTGGGGAATTTTGTGTTTACGGGCGATGACTAATACATATTCTTTGTTATAATATATAGAGTCCAATACTTTCCTGATGCTGTTGCTTTTCCTACAAACTCGACACAAGTTCAAGCTTTAGTTCTTTGCGCGAATGCATTTCAACGTAAACCTGTGCCTAGAAATGGCGGTCATAGGTAAATAAATAAGTACTTGAAACGCGTCTATTTACGACTATATTTTTTCGCTGCTTGCTCTCTAAAATCAAGTTTTCTTTAGTTACGAGAGCTTTTCATCAAGCAATAATTCAGTCGTAATTGATGTTAGTAATATGGTTGATGTGAGCATCGACGAGGTTGCAAAGAAGGCGATAGTTGGTGCTGGTATTCGTCTTGGTCCATTGTATCTACAATTAGGCCAGAAAAATTTCACGTTCATTTCGGGCACTTGCCCGACTGTTGGATTAACGGGTATTATAGCTGCAGGGGGTTTTGGCCCACAATCGAGAAACTATGGGGTAAGGTAAAAAAAAAATTATTAGTAGGTTTGTCGTTATGTTGTCTAAAGTTTGATATGTAAATTAAGTTAATTAAACTTATTATAAACTTATTTAAACAGCGGAGATCTAGCTTTCTCAGCTCAAGTAGTCACAGCAGATGGTAGCTTACTTATCGCCAATGCCAGCCAAAATTCTGATTTATTTTGGGCTTTAAGAGGTGGTGGAGGAGGAAGTTATGGGATTGTCACTCAATGGACATTAAACCTTATTCCTGCTTGGCAACAAAATACTGTCTTTCAGATAACATACCCAATTAAGTCAGCCGAACAGGGACTCAAAGTATGGTCGTCTTGGGCACCTGACTCACCCGAAAATCTTACCACAGTGTTTGTTATGAGTAAGAATGACGGATTAACAATAACTGGTCATTATTTAGGCACTTCAGACCAAGTAAAAACTATATTGAACGCGAGTGGACTTCTGAATCTTGGTGAGAAACCATCAGACGAGGAATATAAAGAGACCAATATTTTAGGTGTGCGCGTATATTTTGCCGAAGAAGATAATTTGTCAAAATACAGTGTGCTGAATATCGGTACATCACCATTTACGAGCAATTATAGTCACTCCGTCGCGACAGTTGGAATATTATCAGATTACCCACCTGGTCCTAAACAACAGCGCGAACTCGAAAAAACAAAATCAATGTATTTTAATGAATCTTTCACCTTGGAGCAAATCAATGTTATTGTGGATCTTGTTACATCATGTCCAGGTGATGCATACGCTGAGTTTGAAGCTTATGGTGGGATATTTAGCAAACAACCATCGAATTTAACTGCTTATGTACATCGATCAAATACAAGGCTAGGGGTACAAGTGAGTGTGTCTTTAACCGGTGACACAAAAAAAGATAAGCAACTATTGGATTGGATTAAATCTTGGGATACTAAAGTGAGACCTTTTTCTGACGGTTCAAGCTATCAGGTACATATTACATGCATTTGTTAAATGGATCTTTCGGTACAATGGGACAGGGCTATTTTGTGGATATATTTGAGGGTGGTTATTATCGTTTGAAATCTGTCCTATGATCGAGGTTGCTAACAATGGGGTGTTGGTGTCAAAGAGATTGATATCAACGGAACTCTATTAATTTTACAGCCATTAATATTAATTTTTTCTGATAGGGTTATGTTGATGCTGATCTCACTAATCCACAAGAAGCTTATTTCGGAAGCAATCTTCCACGGTTGCAAATTATTAAAGCAAAATACGACCCTAATAATACATTTTCAAATCCACAATCAGTATTGCCCGCAGTCGGAATAAATGCGTCTAGCGCGTGCTTAACAAATAACAATAATGAAAAAAGCACGAATAGTAATAGCAATAGTAATCAAAATCAAGGCGAATCATGGACTACATGTATAATGATATTATTTATTTCGACTTTAGCATTGATGTGAAACTCCATATCTTTATTTTACATAATGTTCATGTAAATTCATCATAAATCCACGAAGATTGCATCAAATTTGGTGATCAATATATCATTTAAAAGCGAAAAAGTTACAGAATAAAATTTATTAGGCTTAAAAATTGATTCGTTCACCTTTGCTTCAATAACTAACTCCCAACGACGTCTCATCGAATTTATTAAATTATTTAGAACGGTTTTTGGAATAGAATCCCATTCTTCCATCAAAAACTTCTCTAAAACATCCAAATTTTTAGGCATTCGTTTCTCAACGTTACTCTTAACAATGGCCCATAAATTTTCTATAAGGTTAAGGTCGGGACTACAAGACGGCCACTCTATAACTTCAGGTACATTATCGGCAAGAAACGCTTTAGCTATCCGACTGGTATGCTTGGGATCGTTATCTTGCTGAAAGCGCCACTTCTTCCCGAGCATTTTATTGACCCCTTCGAGATGGTCTTCAAGGATTTTAACATAAAACTCGCCATTCATTATACGTCGGAAACAAAATAGACTCGTCCTTCCCTTTGCGCGAAAACCACCCCAGGCAAAAATTTTTCTACGGTCTTCGGCATACGACGAACTGGACGTTTACCTTTATACCAGCGTTCAATTGTGTTCCGGAACAATTGAAACGCTGTTTCATCAGTAAATAGGGTTTTTTTCCAATTATCGTTAAGGTGACGCTTGGCCCATTCAACACGATTCCGCTTATGAGTCTCCGTTAACATTGGCGTAGTTAAAGGCAGATTTTTTATATCCTTGTGACTTCAAATGTCTGTCAACTGTACGATAACATCACGATTATTAAGTTTAGTGGCAAGAGAACGTATCGTCATGACGAATGGATTGGCCAATAGGTTTTGCTATATTGACTGTTATTTTCTTTGGACGGCCATTACCACCTCTATGCTTCAAAGTGCTAGTTTTTTTTTTGAGCTTTTCAACATTATATCGTACGGTAGCGACAGGTAACTTGGGTAAGTTTGGATAGTTCAGGTACAGAACGGATGCCTTCATTCCAATAATGTAATAAGCTGTGCATCTTTTGTTCGCAAGTAGTTGGTGACATTTTGATAGCGAATTTTGCGAGAGTTTACTTATGAAGATTATTTAAACAAGCGTAGTAAATAAAACCGTTATTTAACATTTAACTTTAATTCAGTAAAAAATAGCATAGATTAAGCTAAAATTGGCGATGTTTATTTATCGTGTGATCGGCAAATAGTTAAGTTTTTTTGTCACACACTGTATATGGATGACATAATACTAAATACATGTAGATGAAACCCCAATTATAACAAGAATTGAAGCCAACATAAATCTTAAATTCAAAATTACTGATTTGGTAACGCTAGTAGAGGAACTATTACCAGTTACTGTACCAGTTGCTGTATCATTAACTATTCTGACATCAGCGCATGAGTACCAAGTGGTATTGCCATCACTTGAGTTGTATACTGCTTGGATGACACCATTTTGCCCAATAGTCGCGTTAGCTTTGCTGAGATCGAGGGGAGTGGTGACCGTTAATTTTGCGTCTCCAGTTTTCATGTCAATTATTGCGGGTTCTTTATTAATTTGAAGAAAATAAATGAACATTATCGATTGAATAGAAAAACTTTATTGATTGTATTTTTTTTTAGTCACTTACGATTTGATACAGGTACGAATGTATCATTAGAAGTTTTAGCGAAATAGTAATTCAGCGTACCGTTACCATCGCCGAAAACAACAATCGATTGACCGTCTATATTTGATGATGATAATTATAATGATAATTATAATGATTATTTACGATAATGATTAATCTTATTCAACCCAGATAAAACATAGCATCAACAAAACTGTCAGCAATAATTGAGATAGCTATTGACATAATCATTACTACTACTACTACTATATTTTCTATGAATGAGACGCTTACGAATAGAGAAATCCGTTATAGAGGTTGTATTGACATCATTTAATCCACTGCATGGAGAGATGGTCAAGTTCCCAGTACCTCTGGGCGGTGGATTCACAAATTTAAAGTGCGCGGAAACTGATGACAATTGGAAACCAAGAATCACAATCGTGAGGAAAATTTGTTTATTGAACATCATAACGGTTATGCCTAAGTTGAATAGTTGTTTAAACGGTAAAAGAAACGTAAATTTGGTTCTTTCAGATTTTTGGTCTATATATAAGGAAGAAGCAATAAAAGAAAATACAAGCTATACATACATGCAGAGTAATGTCGATAATATCTAACTTGTAAGGTGTAACGGAAACTTCTTTGTTTCTGTACGAGTTTTAGATACTGTTTTTGGCTTTTTTATCCGGTTATTGATTTCCTTAACGTTAAACACTACAGGATTAATAGATTAATATTATCACACGGCGCCAAATTGTGCGGTACACGTAGACATTTATTTCCTAAGCATTGGAAAGTAATGGCGGACGAATTTTTTAAAAAATAATATATTCGAAATACGACAAGTCCATATATTATATTTGTACTTGCAGAGGAAGAAGCAATAAAAGAAAAAAAATACAAACATGTACTTGCAGATTAATGTCGACAATATCAAAAAATTTGCTTCATCATAACTTGTAAGGTTTGCAAACGTGTAACGGAAACTTCTATGTTTCTGTACGAGTTTAGATACTGTTTTTGGCTTTTTTTATCCGGTCATTGATTTCCTTAAAGTTAAACACTACAGGATTAATAGATTAATATTATCACACAGCGCCAAATTGTGCGGTACACGTAGACAAACTTTTATTCCCTAAGCATTTGAAAGTAATGGCGGACGAATTTTTTAAAAAATAATATATTCAAAATACAATAAGTCCATATATTATATTTGTACTTGCAGAGGAAGAAGCAATAAAAGAAAAAAAAATACAAACATGTGCTTGCAGATTAATGCCGACAATGTCAAAAAATTTGTTTAATCTCTGATCATAACTTGTAAGGTATTGCGAATGTTTCTTTGTACGAGTTTAGATACTGTTTTTGGCTTTGCCTTAACATATTAATATTTGTCACACAGCGCCAAATTGTGCGGTACACGTAGACAAACTTTTATCCAATTGAAACTTAAACATTTACAGTACATGTACAGTCGCCACAAAAAGTAGCGCCCGATTTTCAATTATCATAAAACTTAAAATATAATTTCGATTTACTTTATTTTTTCATATTATACAAAAAATTATTTCATATTTAATTAATATTTTGTTGACCCTCCTTTTGCCTCCAATACCGCGTTAATTCTTATTGGGATTGAGTCAATAACCTCCCTAAGAATATTGACATCAAATTCGACTACTTCTCCTTTGAGCTCGTCCACGGTTCTTGGAAAGCTTTCGTGCTTTTGAATATTATCTTTTAGCAGCTCCCAAAGATTTTCTATAGGGTTAAGGTCGGGGGAATTCGCTGGCCAATCCATAATCTTGATATTCTTTTCCTCAAACCATTTTTTGATTTTGATTGCAGTATGGATCGGGGCATTATCTTGCTGAAACACTATTTTTTCACCAATTAATGTACAAAGTGTATTGTGAAATGGTAAAAGCTGAGTCTTTAGAATTCGAAGATAAGTATTTGCATTGATTTTTTCTTTTTTTTCTTTATATTCATCGCAAAATATTAACGATCCTGCGAAATATCCCCAAACTATTACTGAGCATCGATCACTTTTGAAAGAGAGTAATAAGCACTCAGTATTAAATCTCTCACCCGTATTTTGCCATACTCTTATTTGTCATGATTGTTTTCCAACCTCCACACTCGACTCATCTGAAAAAATGATCTTCCACCAATCGGAAGGGGTTTTTTTCTTATATTTTTCGCACCAAGTAACGCGCGCAATTGCGCTACTTTCCGAAATAAATGGCTTTTCTGCAGCAATATAAGATCGAACCCCACAGTCATGCAGACATTCATAGCAGTTGATAAACTGCAGTTATGGTTCGTGTCGCATTTTGGTGGCTTTTGTTTAAGTGCATTTTTTGTCTATTGTTGAGAACTTGCAGTCTTCCAGACCATGGTAAATTATCGATTTTTTGGTCTTTTTATACTTTGGCAATAAATCGTCGTATTGTGATGGATCACGCTTCATTTTTCTTGCAATTTGTTTAGCATTCATATTCTCCATATATGCTATGGTGCAGGCATTCTAAAGACATCAAATACTGCGCCACTGCTGAAATTCTCGATGCATATTGGTAGTGGATATTTTATTAATAAACCACATGATTACTATATAATAAATCACGTGTAAATGAAATAGCATATAATCTATCAGAGAGCAATTTTAATGAAGTTTTTTATGTAACTCTTAAGGTTATTTAAGAGATTCTCCCTTTTCTATATAAGAGCATGCCTGAAAGGCCATCTACCTAATAATCCTGTTCTTCCTACAGTATATCCTAGCATTTCAAAATATATTTTTTTTCAAAAAAAAGCAAAAATAAAATGTTTGTCAGTTTTTTTGTAATTAAAAAATCCATTTTCATTAAAAGTATATTTTTATTAAAGATTCTTTTAGATTATATATTTTTTATTATGCCAAAACAAAAGAAACAAAGTAAATACTGCTCAATAACTACAAAAAAGTGCCGAAATAATATAAAATCAAACTCTAAGTTATCAAATATCAAGGAATCAAGTAATAATCAACTGAATAATAATCTTAATAATGATTAACTAAGCTTTGATACTACTTGGATGAAAAATAAAAATGAGTCTTTAAGTGATAAATAATTTATAGAAGAATTAGAAAAAGTACAAGTAGATATATTAGAAAAACTCATAAAGAATATCAGATAATCAGATGTGTAAGTAGTAAAAGAACAAAAGCTAATTTATATAGATTTAACTAAATTAACACTTCATAATAAAAGAGCAGTTTAAAGAAAAGCAGCTTTAAATTTTAGCAAAATTACAAACTGATCTCCTATTAATAATACTTTTAGTAATTATAAACTTCTATTTAAGATCATTAAATCAAGTAATAAAGAGAATAATTTATTTATTTTGATATCTCTTGATATCTTATTAAAAAAAACTCTAATATATAATATTACAAACTATATTTGTGAAGATAGATTTTATCAGAAATATAATTTATAATAAGTTTTAAGAATAAAGACTGAATTATTTATAAAGGTAAAGAAGATTATGATTATTCTAAAGATTTTCAAATATCAATACTTACAAGTATTATATCAATACAAGGCAAAAATAAAATAAAATAAAAATAAAATTGTGATTATAAAAACTAAACTAAGAATAGATACCAAAAACTAAATATCAAAACTATTACTAAAAATAAAAGATTTAATATGTTAACTAAACTCTTTAATAATATCTTTTTAACTATTAGACAAATAAAAGATATATATCAAAATAAAAACAAAGCTTTTATATGTGAAAAAGCTTACAAGAATCTCCTAAATCAAATAAAATATACTTGACTTATTTTAAGTGAAGAATATTCACTACTTATATTTTTCAGATAAGAAAAATATGTAAATAATCAAAATATAATCTATTATAATAGAAAAAATAAATGAAAGTAAGATATTAAAATAAAAATCAAGAGAAAATTACAAGATAAGTACAACTCAAGTATTTTCAAAAATAATTGAATTATTACTATTTAAGTATTATTACCATAGTGATATAAAATTCCTTAATTCCTTAATCTTTTCCTAGTTATGAAGTATTACATTTTATTATAATTTTATTTATTTTATAATTATCCCTATTTTCTATATCATTTATTATTATATTTATTATC